CCATTCTTCTCAGAGTCAGCCACAGTTTGTTATGATCCACACAGTCAAATACCTTTGCACAGTTAATGAAACACAGCTATACATTCCTCTGGTATTCCCTGCTTTCAGCTAAGATCCATCTAACATTAGCTGCAATATCCCTAGTACCACAACCCCTTCTATACCCAGCCTGGACTTCTGGCAGTTCTCTGCTGATGTGCTGTTCCAGTTGTTTTTGGATAATCTTCAGTAGAATCTTGCTTGCATGTGAAATTAATGAGATTGTTCTGTAGTTTCCACACTCTGTTGGGTCACCCTTCTTTGGGATGGGAACAAATATAGATCTATGTAGAAAACAGTAAAAGATGGAAATAGAAACACCATTTGATCTAGCAAACCCAGTACTAAATACCTATCCTAAGAAAACCTGGGAGCCATAATATTAACAGATATATGCAGACCCATGTTCATGGCACACAATACACAACATAGTGTTTGGTACACAATATAAAAAAGATACCTAAATGACAATCAGTGGATGAATGAATAAATAAAACTAAAGTATATATACATAATGGAATACTATAAAATGTTGAAAAATAAAGGATCCACGAAACACATCATAACGTTAATGAACCAAGAGGACATTATGCTGAGTGAAATAAGTCAATCACAAGAACAAAAACTGTGAGTCTACCAGTAATATAGTATATAAGGTATTCAATTGTTAACCAGAAGACTGGTAGTTCAAACCTACCATCTGCTGAGAGGGAGAAAGATAGGTAGTCCTCCCATAAAGACTAATATTTTTGGAAACCACTGCTAACTGCTAAAAAAAAACGTTTCTGATAAAGTAGGATAAAAATGTAAAACAAAATTCAATTATTTTTTTTAATAATGTTTACTACTGGAACTTCAAAGACTTTTGTTACCCTTCAGTGGAACTGACATTAATTTTGTGCCTCAACATTCAATCAAAAAATTAAGCAGCCCCATGAGGGAGCGCTGGAGGTAAGAAGCTGCATTGCAAAACAAAGGAATGTGGACTGAATCAGGTGCTCCTTAGTCTTCAAAGTGACATCACTGTCCTCTAGGATTTCGGAGAATTCACTGACAGTGGCCTTGTGGATCCAAATAAGATGAAATATTGATGATTTCAATCCTTTCTCAAACTATCGTGATGCGCATATTAGTCCAGTGTTAAGGAACTTTGTTTTCTTGATGTTGAAGAACATGTAATCCATATTCAAGGTTATACTCTTTGATCTTACAAGCACTTGTAGCAAGCACTTCAAGTTCTCCTTACTTTCAGCAAGCAGCATTGTGTCATCTGCATAATGTAGATTGCTGATGATCCTTCCTCTGATCCTGATGCCACATTCTTCTTCATAGCTTCCAGTTTCTTGAATTTTCTTAGCAAACAGACTATACAGATATGGAGAGAGTATACAACCATGATGAACATCCTCTCTGATTTTCAAACACACAGTATTCTCTTGTTCCATTTGGACAATAAATTCTTAGTCTAGGTATAGATTTCATAGGGAGCTCTGGTGGCCTAGTGGGAAGAAGATGTACTGCAATCCTGAAAACTTGTGGTTTTTTTTTTTCTT